ACATTGCATTTCTTTCGAGGTCTTTGTTCAACTCATGGTGTCAGTCAAAGATTTTTGTTAGTACTGTATGAAGCTGAGGTTGCCTGCTGCTCTGGCAGATTCTTTGGGGCCAGCAGCCATGGAGCTGAACCGCAAAATTGATGACTTCAACGACAAGTTCAGCTTGGCAATGTCACCCAGCAGGCCCGCAGTTGGGTCCCCCGCCAAGGCGACTGCTGATGCACCGCGGACGATGTGTCAGCCACAGTTTACTTCTGGAGATCGCCCCATCGACCCAACGAGAACCCTCAATGTCACCACATGCACCAAAGATGAACTGGAATTGAAAGAGTTTCTCAGACGCATCAGCTTTCATTGTGGAAACTTCATGAAAACCAGGAGCCACCAGCTGTTCTGTCACATGAGACCCAAGGTTGCTCGCAAGGACTCCGGTTTTGGGCCAGCCCAACCTTTGGGTTGTGGCTTGCAAGGATTACTCCTTGTACGTGTTGAACCACTCAGATTCTGAGACTGTGCAAGTCCCTGCTGGAGAGCTCTGTGGTTTTGGAGCTGGCACGTTCTCAGAAGTGACCCCAGGCCTGGCTGGCTTGAGTCGCTATTGTCCAGAGACCTGTAACCAACAAAGAATCATTTTGTTAACTGGTCAGGAATTGCCCGGAACAACAAGGACCACAGTCTTCCATGGCTGATTGATGCCGACACCCAGCTTCTCATTTACACGGACACCGAGAACACAAAGAAACACTTGTGCTTGGCTCAAATTGCCTGCGTTTGCTGCCAGAGCCGGGGCATCACAGAGATGACCGTTTTGGATCACACGTTGGAGCAAAAAAACAAGGACATGTCAATGTGTCCTTTTTCTGGAGTGTTCATTTGTCAAGTAGGAGGGTTGTATATCATTTGCGTTTTAAATATTGTATCTCTATACTACCATTTTGCACGCAACCAGGATGATGGAGCGCCCATGGCATTCAGATATGGAGTGACCCCGCTGCCAAAGATCAATGCCTTTGACCCGAAAGGGGTGAGCCCTGACCAGAACCTCATGGACTTGCGGCCTACTGTGTTCGGCGCCGTTTACAAAGGGCATTTCCGCAAATTGCCAACGAGCATGGCCACGGTGACCTGGGAGGCTCTTGATTTTTGAGAAAAGGCTACAGCGTGTTGATTTTGGGTGTGGAAGTGAACATCCTTCAGCAAAACCAAATTTCTGTTGCAAGGTTCGAGTGGAACCATCGCCGGCTCTTGTGAAGCCGTCTAAGCCGAAGCTGCTGCTGCAAGGAACTTTTTCCCTTGCCCCGCTGACGGCAGCGCTTATCCAGTGAGAAAGTTGGCCATGTCGGTCACGAGAAACGTTTTCCAGTGTGAAGCATCACCGTTGTCCAAAAAAGAACTGTGCACTTCTCACTTGTGAAAGTTGTTGCAATGCACGAAGCAAAACACTGGTCAACATGTTTAAGCTTTTGCATTTAGACTTCAGGGGCCAATTTGAGGTTAATTTTTTTGCTTGCGGATGATAGCGTTCAAAGGCCCAAATCACAGGACACGACTTCAACAATGCCTTTGAAAGCCATAAATGATTCAGATCTCTCTGATGCTGAGTGCCCTGCGCTGAAAGGGAAGCCCAGTGCAACCCCAAAACCAAAGCCCGAGCCAAAGAAGTTACAGCTACCAATGAAAGCCAAGTCGGCAGCAAAACCTAAGGCAGCACCTGCTGCGTTGCCCAGTCAGCAAGAGCCAACAGCCCCAGAGCAAACCAAGGTTGCCAACGTTCTGAAACGACCCGCAGCTGCCAAAGCCAACCCTAGCACCGCCGAAGGCCCACCCCACAAGAAACCTGCAGCTGCAAAGGCTACCAAGAAGCCACCAACTGGCCGCGCCTACAAGTACTGCTACCACCAAAAAGAAATGTATGGAATCAAACGGGATGGGTCAGAACTTTGCACAGCCAGGGTCTTAAAGGGTTTGCTTGCAACATGTATCAACGAAACAGTGGCCAGTGGGTTACCCTATTATTACACACTCAAATAATTCTTTACAGGTCAAGCTGGAGCCAGGCTTGACAATGGATGAGATTTGTGATATTGCCGCGCCCTGACCGCAGTCGGTGCGTTAACCTCAAAACCGTTTGCTGATATGCGTGTGTGGCCCTGGTATCTCTCGTGTGTTCCATTAGGAGGCAATTCGCGAAGAGGCAGAGAAAGGTGCTGCCAAGGCGGATCTCATCCAGCTTGCGGCCAGTTGGCGGAGTTCGGAGTTACTATATATACATATTATATGAAATGTCACGTGTGGATGAACTTGTCTTGTCCTTTGCATGCGTCGTGTCTTTTCCATTGCTCCTGCTAGTTTAGTGGGAAGTTGAGGCTACTATGAAGCAAAGGAAATTGGAGGCCAATGCCGCGCGGACTGGGAATGCTCCTCAGAGCGCTGGAGGTTTGGAAGATGGGGACCTCGGATGCGATGATGATGGCGAGGGCGCAGAGGAAGAGGAGGGTGAAGAAGACCCTGTGATGGAGTCTTAAGAGAAGACTTCAGACTCTTACATGAGTGTTTTTCCAGTGGACCACGACAGAACTTTTCGCTTGCGAGAAGAAATGTGGCGCAACTGCTTGCACCAATGCTTGTCGCGAACTGGTTGGACAAAACAAACAGTGAAAGGCAAGTCTAACACTTTAAACTGTTGGTCGGGTGGGGAAGATCAACCAACACTAACTACTGTACTTGTTTTTGTCACCCAAAAAGCCCAGACTCTGGACATGCAAAGCCTTACTTTTTTTTTGCCACCTTTTTTTTGCCTATCTAAACAAAAACTGTTCCACCTCCCATTCGCTTGTTCCGTTTTGTTTGGGGATGTCACAGAACTGAAAGGTTGTTCCTGGCACTAACTATGTAGACAAAAAAGTGTTAATGGACTCTCCCTGCACGTTGCTCCTGCGAGCGCTTTCTCAAGTGTGAGTTTTGTCAAGCTCTCTTGTCAAGGCTCCACGAACTTGATCAGATAACACATAGAGTCGGAGGTTCGACTGTAGCAACTTCCACAGTCCATGTAGGACAAGAACCAAAGAGACTATTTGTCAGGGCATGGAAACAGGACTGGTTGTGTTTCCAGAGCCCAAATGCAAAGAA